GCCCAACTTGATTTGTGATAGGAACACAGGCATCAGGAAGACTAGTAAGTAGGCAAAGGTGCAAAACTGCAGCATGTCATGAGTTCAGTTCTGTAGCCTAACACATTGAAACATATCCAGTGATTTAGTAGATATAGATAGATAGAATAGATAGAATTCTTTATAGGGCAAGTGTGATTGGATACACAATGAATTTGTCTTAGTGTATACACTCTCAGTGTACATAAAAGAAAAGAGACATTTGTTACACCTGTTAGAATGACATTTTGAAAATAAAGATCTGATGATGTCTGATGATGCCATGACAACATGACATCTGCTGCTCTCTTTTGCTTGTATGGCTGATGGATAAGAGGAAAATGAGGTACATAACAGCATAACAGAATCCAATGGATGGTGTTTTTGCACAAAATTTTCTGAGCAGCTGAGCTGGGTTGTGAAATCCTGGATTTTCAGCAATTCCTTAAATATTCCAAGTTGGTTTTATTTTACTCTCCCTACCAATTCAGGCATCTGTAAAATGAATGGAGTACTTCCTATAAATAAAAGGACCTGCAGTTGAAACTCTGGCAATTAACTATCTGTATACAAAGGTTGTCAAGATAACATCTCAGGTTTTCAATTATTTTCTTAGGAAAGTTTTCCTAATGTTCAATATGATATTACTTCAATGACAGATGACATTTAGGTTTCTAAGGATCTTTTAAAAAGATCCTTAGAATGCATGACTATCTCTTTTATGCTGGTCATTTCATACTATATAATTATCATACTGATCAATTATGACTTTTCAAATGTATTGATAAATTAGTTATAAATGTTTAGTATCAAGGTGCATAGTCTATGTGTCCAGGGCCAAAAGGACACTTTTTAAACCCTAAATCTTAGATGCTGCCCTCAAAGAACCCTCAATGGATTCTTGGAAAACTTATAATAGATAATGCAGCAACTCTTCTCTTTAGTTGTGAAGTAAGCACACACCCAGTCCAGTAAAATGCAAGAGAAGATGCTAGAAAAGTTTTTGATGACTAATAGCATGACAGTTATAGACAGCAGTTGTTACTATGTTTATTTCTTTTAATCCATCTGTTTGACTGTGAGATCAGATAGGTACACACCTTAATTTTTGTGCATGTATTGTAGGTTTTAAATAAAAACTAAATTATTTTCTGGGCACTAATTCAAGCACAAGATACTGCCTTTCTTCTGTTCCCCTGTCGATCCTTCTAATAAGCTCTACAATGATTTTACTGGATTACATAATTATAGTCCTTTTTACTGAGCTTTACAATGTCTACAATGTTCACTTTTTAATAATGTATCTTATAATGTATTAATGTTGTTAATATATAAACCATCAAATATGTATATACACATTCTTCATACACGAACTCTCATATGTGTTACAGTGAAAAAACATGAAATACTGATGATTAGTTAGCAAGGGAAAGGTTGAGGTCCAAAGCGGAATAATCTTTTCAAAGAAAGACATAATTTGCTTAACCTATAGTTGTGGAAAATTAAACATATAATAATTAATATCCATCACTTCCTTTTCAGTTCTATTTTTTTAATACTGGCACTATTAGTTTATGATAGAAATAGGGAGTAGTTCAGATGGTATAGCACTGTATGATTGTCAGATAGAAACACCCGTATCAGACCATTGGTAATTATGCCTTGTTAAGCATTAGGATAGTTGGTTACCTCAGAATTGATTCAATCAGGAACATTATACAAATGCAGAATGCAAGTGTTTAATGCAACATGGGTGATAAACTCTTTTATGAATAGAGGATGCTTTTTTGTTCAATATATATTTCTTCGAAAAGATTTAGATCAGAGATTCATTGACTTTGAATTGTAGACCTCATGGTTGAAAGGTGTGGGCTAAGTCTGATTCTTTGTTGGTTCTTCTGCATCTAACTCTCATCTAGCCCTATTTGAACAAATTGCTTGATAAAGAGATCTGGAGAGCTCAAAAATTGGTATACTGGTTTGCCAATTATATTATTCAACTTTGGATTTTAGATTATTACAACCCCCACTCCATGTGCTAATATAACTATTAGTTGCTTACCTCAATAAAAAATAAATATAAGAACATATAATGGAAGAAATGAAGATAAAATAGTTTTATGTCTCTGAGTATTTATGCAATGTTTAAGTTGCAACTGCAAGGGTTCTTTCTTGTGTTTTAAAGATGAAAGTTAAGAAATTCATTGATTCAGTGCTATAATTTCCAAGATAGGAATATCATGCCAACACCAAATCCTACATGTTTCTGTTGAAAGGACAGAAAACTAAGAAAATGTTAAGCTTGTCTCACATCATCATTTCATTATTTTAAGAACAAAAGCCAATGTCTTGAAACAGTTCGCAAAACTATCTTACACTGCAATTGAGGCACATCATAATCTCAAATTATGAGCATTTATATCATTATAGTAATTTAGTGTTGAATGATCACAAGAAAGTACAATGATTAGTTTGCACATATGTACATGTATATGTATGTGTTGTTGTTTGTAAATTTGAGCAGAAGTCAGTATGGAGTCAGTGTATAGATTGTGGGAAATAATAGTTCAAGGAAGCCAATGTTTAGAGTGGAAAATAAATAAAGTCAAGTGGGAATAAGCTATGGGAATAGTGAAAAAAGTGGGATAACCAATTCTCCCTCTGAACTTCAGTGTGAAGTAAAAACAGTCTTGATTGTTAAATGATGTCTTCCCTTCATAAGATTTTCTTATGACATTTGAGGGCATCTGGAACTTCTTTGTTCAGTTTCTTTTTGACAAGTTTTTTAAAAACAAAGATGTGAGTCTAGTGTGGGCTTTTATAAACTTTTCATGATAGAAAATGGAAATTATTTTTCTTCCTCATTTATCACTATTGTAGTTATATGTCTGTACTGGTACTTAAAACTAAATTAACACCCTAAGGACTGGAAAATTATGCTCCATTGATTACATCCTATTCAACAGTTAAATTTTATATTTTAAAGTAATTTTTCAGGCTTAAATATCTCAACAGTTGTTGGTAAAATAAAGTCTTTGGAAAAATACCAGGGTAAGTTAAATAGGACCTAATCAGGAAATTGTATATGGGCATTTTCCTCTCTGAGAAAATAATTATTACCTAGTCTGTATTTCCATACAAAGAGTATCTAAACAATAGTGAAAATGTTTTCCATTTAGCATCATGGCAAAAAAACATATTTTGCTGGAATTTGATCAAAAATCAAATTGGATCAAGTCTGAGGTGCTGCAGCTTAATTGCTGCTGATAATGATCTAGGATGATCACAAGCTAGACAAAGGATAATCATGTTTTTAAATGATAGTGATTGAAGAACTGAAAATAATAGAGAATATTTAATTCAGATAAAAAATAAAAATAAATCCTTTTCTAATTTTAATTATTATAAATCTTTTCCCTAAATTATTCATTTACAATGGATGAAAAAGCCACATTATTCTTGCTTCTTGTGAATTATCAGTTGTAGAAATATGATTTGCATACCAATTGGTGCACATAATGGATTTCACAGATTGAATCATTTCAGCCTTTCTCTTTGTATGTTTGTATGTTGTGTGTGTGTGTGAGGGTATATACAGGAAAAATACAAGATGAATTCATTTTCTTTTGATTATTTGCATGTCATAGTGGATGCATACAGATTAAGTTGATTGTGTGAATTGTACAAACATTGGGAAATCCAGATTCAGAAGTCTGAGAATTTGAAAAGGCTGTCCTAAGAACAGAACACATCTTGAACCATTCACAAGATTAAGATATTCATAGATGCATGCATGAAATTTAACTAACAGCTGGTTAACAGATGAATAATATTAAATCTATGCTGTGAATCTAAACATAATTCTGGGTTAAACCAACAGTTGCAGAGAATTTTCTTCTTCATTCATCATTTTTTACTCTAAGATTATTCTCTTTCTATTTTGGAGGTCTTTTGCCTCACTTAATTCTGCAATTCTGGTAATATAATATGTTATGGCATTTCGATATCAGCATCTATTGTCTAGACTAGATTAGGCCAGCTAGGCCTAAAGATCTATAAAGAAGAGTAAAAGTTCTACCTCATAACCATCTGCTTTCTGCTGATTTTTATGTTCTGCATATTTAAGTTCCTGCATGTTTTAAGTTAAACATATGACCTTCTGGACATATACCATCTTTAATGATATACAAATGTTATCATTAAAGATATACTGTATAAGGTCCATTTGTTTAAGACATTTATATGGCTTCCCGACTTGTAATTCATACAATCAACAAAAAATGTACAGTCAGTTAAAAATAATAGCACACAAATTTATTTAGATGATACTAGGCAAAAGAGAAAACAAGAGTCACTTCTATTTCTTCTTCCTACCCTTTGACCATGGCCCAGGAGCTCCATACTGAGTTTCCATTTTCCCAGCATTGAAATCAGATTCTTACTCTTATCTTAGTTCAACACAAGATCTAATTTTGCCTAGTGTTCACTTATATTTAGATTTCTTTTTAATCATGAACATCCCCATCACAATTCGGTCCTTCTCATGTTTAATCTTCACCAGCCTTTGTTTCCTTGCTTTTTTACAGCCAAATTGCAAGCTGCTTCAGTCAATGCTTCCCAAACACTACAGAAAAAGAGAACACATTAAAGGAAAATAAGAAGAAGATGCAAATCTTACTCTTCTTCCAGTTTCATTTCTGCTATTTGAATGTCTTTAAACTCTGGAACACAAGGGTTGATGATAGAGCAATTTTCTATTTACTATAGTTTACCAACTAACTGTTTTAAAATTGTTTCTTAAAGAAGAATTCTTGAAGAAAACATGATGTGGGTTTTTTCTTAATGAATCATATCCTGACATTTTCTTGTTTATTAGATACACCTCCTTTTTAGAACAACCTCCAGGAAAAAAACAGAAAAGATTGTTTTGGCTATACACAAAATGCATGAACAAATCAATGGAGCACAAATCAAATCATTCATTTTCATTAGGGACTTATCAAAGAGGTTTATTTTAGGAAATGCACATTTAGCATGCAGGGTGCACCAAGAATAATGAAAAACATATGATTGCAGATTCAGTTTGCAGATATACAATGAGACTAAGAAGAAAGTTAAGCTATAATACTATTCCAATTTACGAAGTTGTTCCAGTGATCTCAATAACATTTGCAGAGGTTTTGCTATGTACTTAAATTATCCAGACAAGTTGTTTTTGTATTTTTATATGAAAAACTAGTAATAGATATGAGTAAATTATACACCTTTGAGAATGGGAGCCTAAACAGCCACTCTGGTTCAGGTCCTGGCCTAGAAATCAGGAGACTGAGTTCTAGGTCTGCCTTGGGCAGGAAAGACAGCTGGTTAGCTTTGGGCACTCATTCTCTCTCTGGAAAACCTACTTCACATGGTTATTGTTTTGGGGAAAATAGGAGACAGGAGTCTTATGTATGTTTACCACGTTGATACAGATAGATAGAAGCAGGATAACACTACAGTAATAATAATAATAACAAAAATGATAGTACTATATATAAAAGCGTTGTTGGCCTAGATAGAAGGGAATTGGAAGGCTACTATTTAAGGATACCAATGGATGTTTATTTTATAGTATTGATCAGAAGCTAATGCTTGTGAATATTATAAGATTAATTGAAGTTTTGACATGTGCCATAGGTGAAAGAACAGAAAACTCATGTATCTATAGAGTGTTACAGGCAGGATATAGTTGCAGTAAACTGAAATGTATTTCTGGGTGTAAATCTGATTCCTGCAGAGTTAAGAGAAAGGCATTCTCACTCTGATCCTTGCTCTTAACTAATGATATACAGGTTAAAAATAAAATTAACTGCTACTTACACAAAGGCATACTTAGCTTCATGTAATATTTGGCAATATTTAACATAGTAAAATAATAGCCAACCAATGGTGTGGTTAATGACAATAAAAGAGAAATCTAACAAATCAATTGCTATTGATCTTCTGTACAAGGATGGCCTCTGTAATAGTTGTGGAAGTTCCTCATGGTAAGTGGTGAGGGATGATGGAATTAATAGACAAGCAACATTTGAATGCCCACACATTTCCCTCCCTGGTCTGTCAGAGCATGATGGCATTATTTTCCTTTTTAAGACAAAGAACACACACACACACAATCAAATCTAAGAATAGTGATATTGTGAAATTCCAGTGATTCATTTAATTTAGTTTCATAGCTTGCAGAGGCCTTGTTTTACTGGAGTTTGTGTTCTTCATTTCCTGCTTAGTCTTATCCGCTCTCTAGCCCCAAACAAACCCTCATTAATAAAAATAAAATAAAATCTTCCAAATGTTGTGAAATTATTCTTTAATCATTTCTCTGTTGGCTGTGGAATGTGAATACACACACACACACACACACACACACACACACACACACACATATATATATCCATGTTAGCAATGCACACATACACACACACTCACACACTCTCTCTCTCACACACACATAAACTGCTAAAACTTGATGTGATTTTTATAACCATTCTTACCTTACGAATTCATGAGAAATTTATGTGTTCATATAAGAACTTGTGCCATTCATGAAATCTAAAATTTGTATAAATTTGATCATATCTCATGAGTTTTTGAGATTTTGTGAAATTTTTTTAGAAGGAAGGATACACAGTTCTGTTTTAGATATCTCAATGACAGTACTTCTCCTGGTCTGTAGAATTCTTTCTTGTCATTGAAATAATATTTTTCTCTATTGAGTAACTGCATACAGTTACAATATGAGATTAGAAGGAACCGCTGCCAGATTAGGGAGTTAGCTTTAACAAATTTTTGTACTTTCTCACCAAACATTTGCAAATTTAGTGTATTGTGTGCAAGATGATCCTGTGATGTGTCCCCCTTTTTTAAATGAAGAAAAAAAAATAGGCTTGGAAACAACAACTGGCAAATGAACAAAGTTCAGCATAGAATCAGTTTTGAAGTTACTCTGAATTGTTCTGTGGTTTCAGGGTGACATGTGTCATTATTTTCATATTAATGCTTGTGGCTTATTCTTTTTTCAGTGCACTCTAGCACTTGGTGCTCAGTGTCTTCATGTTTTAATAGCCAAATTCCTTTGATTCAACGAGGGTGGCATGTTCAGATACTACTTCCGAAACTTCTATTTCAATACACACACACACATATACACACACACTGATCTTATTTCAAACAGGCTTTTTACTGCACACAAGAATGAGAGCAGAGCCAAATAATTATAGAAAACACAAGACCAAAGGAACTTAAAAAAAAACTGTTTGAAGGCAACTTCAAGCAATTCCAGACCTTACATACTTCCAATGTAAAAAGTTTATGAACACTTTAAATTATTTTCTGGATGCATTCAGGTACTTATCATGAATCATCTTCTTCATATCAACATCATACACCCTACCTCGATCTGGTACCTTCCAGATGTTCTGGAACTACACCTCTGTATTCTCAGATTCTTTGGGATTTTGGAAGAAACCTAAATGCAGAACAAACCTAAATATAGTCCTCAGTATCAACCTGATTGTTTTGCATGATCCTTGACTTGTATGATCAGAATGTTTTGTTGGCATTGAAAAATTCCAACCAATTAGACGATAAAATATGGAGACATTGAATGAATCCTAATTTTATTGTCAAAATCATAACTGCAGTTGACTGACCAAGGCTGAAGTAATGGCATTTGAAGAGAAACCTGCCATTAACATGAATGACAGCTTTGGAGAGAAATACAGGCTGAAATCTCTTTCTACTATGTTGTAAATAACTCCATGGGAGCTCTTTAAACATTATTCCTGAAATGGGAGAAAAATTAATTATGAAGTAAAATAGGATCACTTTCAAGCAGAAATGTTGTAACTTTCACATAATATATGGATTTTCTTCTTTTTATGTGGGATTGTATTTAAAACAGTATTGCAACAGATTGAATTGCAACAAAGACAAAGATACCTTTTAAAAAATGTTGCAACTTAATGAAAGTCTACGGAAAGATGATCAGTGATAGATGAGTTTTTACCACATTGAATTTGGTAAAAATTTGGAATTTTCTAGAGTTCCAATTTTTAAGACCACCTCTTAATCTCATTTTAGAGATTCTTAGCCATTACAGCTCATAGAGCATTAAAGCTCTATGTTTGATGGTTTAAACAGATTCTATTTGCAAGATCAGTTATGTGGATTTGCTGATGTTTTAATTTCAGTATGTGGCCAGGAGGAATATTGTGATGCAGAAAGACTTTAATGAAGGCATCTGTGTTTCAAAATTAGTCAAACTGCTGGGAAAAAGTAGATCCTATTGTTTTTCCATTGGTTGATCCCATTGGTTTTAGATGAAAAACATTTATTTTAAAATAAAAAGCAAACTATTAGGTTCTTCACAGTATTCAATTTCAACATTACTTTTTTATGTCTGGAATAAGTGCTAGCTTTATTTTCAGAACTGACACAAAATTGGAACTGCTTGTGTTCTGCCATCTCATCCCAGTTTTACTTGATTTTGGGTGGATGGGAATTTTCAAAACTACGAATCAGACTTGTTTGAAAACTATCAAGTAATAAAAAGGAACTCATGTATCCCTTCCACATCACTTCAAACTGCGTTAAAACCTTGTTGATTTCCATCATTAACAATATTTGTTAAATTTAGATTTCATTCTGCCAAAATTATTGACATTTTAAAGAATTTGATAAGTTAAAAGAAGTTTTAGCTATGTATTTGGATATGAAACATTATTTCCTTTAAGATTGTTCTGCCATACATGTTATGGCAAAACTTTAATATAGTTTCCTCTCATTTAAAGACATATACATTTTTGATGAGGGAACAGTTCTCCAAGCCAGTAACTTATCATGAAGGGTTTATTGGTCTTGTATTTAATTATAAGTATTTTGTATTTCTGTATTTTTTAATTTACGATTCAAATTTCACGTTGTTGTATTATGAAGCAGTTTTCAGATTAAAATTATCTAATTTTAGCCAAACTATATTCAGAAATGCCTACTTTGACATGATGAAATGCATTTACGATATATAAATATGCATATGCTTTTAAATAATACTTATTTAAAGAGGTAACAGATGAATGTAGATTAACTGAATATAGGAATGTTCTTGAATGAAAGCATCAGGAATTCATCTAATTCTGGTATAGCGGGAACCTGGTGCATCAATTTTATCTGATTACTGCATGAGTTTTCCTTTCCTGCCTAAAATGGTTCATATTTCATTTCTGTGTGTGCATGAATAAAGAACAAAGACTAAAGATTTACTTAATCCTCTTCATTATATTATATTATGTGAATGGATCCATGAATTGGTTCCTGTGAAGTGATAAGAATGTCATATAGTAGCCAGAGCACAGCAAAATTGGTTTGACTTAGTTTCTTTAGGAGACAGGTCTCCAAACTTGGGAACTTTAAGACTTGTGGACTTCAACTCCCAGAATTCCTCAGCCAGCAAAGCAAAGCTGGCTGAGGAATTCTGGGAGTTGAAGTCCACAAGTCTTAAAGTTGCCGAAATTGGAAACCCCTGCTTTAGGAGTTCTGAACATCTGTCTCAAGATCACAATGATAAGTTACTTTTGAAACTGAATGATTATGGGGTAAACTACAACCATTTTCTGCTAAATGCCCCTTCTCCTAGACTAGTATTTCCTTCCTAGTATTCACCACTTTTTCTAGATTTTGTGATAAATATGTGACATTATAATTTCTTTCCACTTTTAGCCTCTATCTCATAAGACTTGCACATAATACAAAGATATGAAGGAGAAATTGTAGTGGCAGGGGATGGTGTTAATTTTTTCCCCTTCATCATAATTCCATTCTAGACTCTCCCAGTCAGATAGAATTGGTATATTTATAGACAGATTAATCTTATTGGTAAACTAGATCTCTAAACATTTTAATACTTTCATGATTTAGAAAAAAATAATGAAAAACATATGGATGCAGTTAAGAGCTCCCAACTAAAGAGGCCATCATTGTATGGGATCTTCAAAAGCTTGGAATGTGCCCTTCAACTTATCCAGGAATTATCACCAAACTAATTTTTTTAAGGTGATAGATAGAAAAAATAATTAAATACATGGAGAATGTTTCACCAACTATAATTAAAGTCTAATTAAAAATAAATTAAATTAAACCATTTTCCATTCTTTTTTGGATGTTGGATCTCCATTCTGCTCAAAGGAAATCCATACAATATTTTACAGCAATTATTGTCATTCTAATTTTTCCTGTGCCAAATGCATTAACTTGGAATGTCACATTTATAGAGATCAGCATTTCAAACAGTTGTATATACAGTTATATAGAATCCTATTCTTATAGTTTGGCAAACTACTGTGAAGTATTTAGTGCATCATAAATAAGAAGTGGAAATGCATATATTGGCTTCCATTACTTTAAAATTACTGCCAGCACATCTTGATCTCACTGACTTTTCTAGATTTCTGCCAGATGTATCCTAGGTTCATCCTAGTGATTAGACATGTATAAATCAGGCAAAAACTAATTGAATCAAGTTAGTTTAAAGCTTTTACTTGGTAAAACTGTATGAGTGTCCAAGCAGAAGACTCTTGAATTTCCAGATAAATTCAAAGGTCCTTAGTAAGCAATTCAGTTGTAAAAGTTTTAAGAGATGGTTTAATTGAATCATCATTAACATTGAAACTTCAAATCGAAGGTTAATTACTGATGATCATCAATAATGCTATAGCATAAGATCTTTCTATTAAGATACCTGTCTCTTTCTTTCACACACACACACACACACACTGAATGAATTATCCCTGTCTCAGTCTTTAAAGTACTAAATTTATTATAAGATTTTAACTGCAAAAAAGAAAAACAAAGTTTTATATCAGTGTCTTTTTTGCTCCCATTTTAATTAACATATTGTTCTCTAACAAATCCTTTATTTACTATAAGGTGATATATATAAGCTCTATAAAATGAACTGAGAGCATGTAAAATTAGTTAAAATACTTATTATCAGCTATTATATCATCTCTATATAAAGATAATCACAAAGTTTTCCACTCTTCTTGGTAGGTGATTGAAACTGTCATTTTGGTTTTGCTCTGTTTATACCAGAAAATAAGGTTGTATCGCATAAACCTTGCAATAAATTAAAAGTTAAATTTAATTTCAAGTCAGAACCATGCATGTTTGCTCAAAAGGAATATCCATGGAGCTTAATAAGATATAATTCCAAATAATGCTGTGCAAGCTTTCAGGTTCAAATTTTCAAAATCATTTGTATTCAGTTTAAATGTGATGTATCTGAAATAAATATTTTTCTTACTATAAATTCAGAAAGAAATCAATCAAATCTTGATTGCTCATTCTTCAATTGTTAATTTTTACACAGTCTTGAAATTGAAATATTAACAATGTTAATATTAGAAAGCAGATCATTTCTAGTACTCCCATTTAAAATATGACATGAAAAAATCAAGTGACATAATAAACAATTTCAGATGCAGTGATTTTTTTCATGAAGCATAATTAATGGGATAACTATTAGATAGGCAAAATAATTTTTCATGCAGGATTCTTTAGAAAAATGTTCATAATATATTACCTTTTTGACAAATGTAATCTTATTTGCATCAAAGGACAAAATTCTGTATTGACACTTGGATAGTTTAATGTCTTCAGAATATCATTAATCATGAACACAGGAACTGAATGATAAATTATCTTTCCAATAATTAATAGTAGGTATCCATCTCACTTCATAACAAAATATAATTTGATAATGAATCTAGTGAATTTCTCCTGCAGTTTCATACTTGAAACACTACTCAGATTTCCAAATTATATCAGACAATTTCCATATGAATAGTAAAAAGTCTTTCACATTAAAATATTAATTGTAAACAAACTAAAACACTTTGGAGGGGGGAATGCAATCCATCTGTATAACAAAAGAAAATTATATAATTCTATTTGAGTGAAATCTTTCATCTTTGATTTACAGGTTTGCATCTGCTATAACTGAAACCACATTGTTTTATATCTTTCATATTCTGGCTTTCCCTGAACCTTGTTTTAATTAAAGTCTCTTTCAGATTTCTGAATAAAAAGCATGACAATGTTCACTTATGGCTTTAATATCTTCTTTGAGCTTGGAAAATGTATAAAAGAATATTGTTGCTTGCCGATCAAAGGAATGTCAGTATCAGATACTGTAAAATAGAATGGGGAACAGTAAATAATACACTATTTTCTCTGTTTGTATAGGTTTGTAGTACAGATGTGTATGTCTGTGTCAACAACAAAAGAAAGCATTTATGTGTGTCTTGAGAGAAAGATTTTAGTGAGATAGTTTTTCTATTGTTATTTGCAACCCCCCCAAAAACACCTCATACTCCTTCCTTTTCTGTGACAATAAGGCAACATGTGTAAGAGTTTAAGCATTCATTATCAGCAAAAGGCACAGCTCTTCAGTAACACTCATGAATCCACATGGACTTGTGGCATAATCTTACTATTCATCAGAGAAGAAAATAAATAACAGGAGATACCTCTCAGAAACTTGCTACTGAGTTCCAAGCTTCAATGGGATTCAGTGGAAGAGAATAACTGACATGCCAACTCCAAAAGAAAAAATAATCTGCAAAAGTACTAGATTTTCCAGCAAACTTCAGGAATGTCTCTTTTGCTTATTTCTCTTAAAAGTGTAGCACAGGATTGGCCTGAAACAAGATTAAGTCAGATAGGGAAAAACTGTTGATTTCTGAAAGCTGAATCAGTTTTGAAATCAGTTTGAATTAGTTTGCAATCAATCACTTTGCTAATGCCATTTGTAATCTATGCAGGATTATGCCAAAGACAAACCATCAGTCTTTCTTTGCCGAGCAAATTTTGTTCAAGGGATTCTAATTATCATTACCAACAGAAATACAGAGACAACCACCATCAACAAAAGAAAGCTAAACAAGAGACCCATTTAACACACTTGCATTTGGGACAGTTAAAAAAGAGCAGAATGGACATCTCTTGCTACCCAGTTTCCCTTTAGAAATTAATGCTTCTCTCATGAAATTGCTTTAGCACCTTTAAAGTGGCACTACAGAAGAACAACTTGTAATTTCATTACATCCAATCAATCATATGAACCATTTCAAATGATCAGAGGGGGAAAAAGTCCCTGTAAAATGTATTTTAACATGTCAGAAGCAGGAGGAAGATTTGTGATTCTGTCTAGTTTTTTTCCCTAGCGGCTTCACAGGCTGTTTTGATTTTTATAGACAACCATAGAGAAGAACTCAGAATGACTTTAACATTTCTATTCTACCACTGAATTTGGGGAGTGGATCAGAGAGCATATAAAAATCGGCACAAGATTCTGCCTTTCCTTCCAAGTCTGGTTCACTCTACTGTTAGAATTCTAGTGGTTACATTGAAGGAATTTTAGGCTCTTTTAAGTCTCTCCCACGAACAAGTGAAGCTGCTGTTCAGAATTCTGTGCCCAATGTTTATGTTCCAACTGATCTCTGCCACCCAAGCAGCAGACAAGACATGTCTAAGGGTGCTTTTTTGAGGGGGGGATACACAATGATGTCACACACAGGAAATGTCAGAGGAGGACTTGGCACTTCACAAGGCTGACTCTTCTTCCATAGGCTCGCCAGCAACTCTAGAAAAATAAACAGGCAATCAGAATATGGAACCAGAGTACACAATGACATTGTAGATTTTCATGCATAATCAAAGCTGATTTTTCAGTTCTCCCCCATGTTTATTTGTGTTCTTCAGCTAGCCATAAATAAAGTTTCTTTCCTTGGATGTATAAACAAATGTCAAGTGGAAAAACATTTTCGATCCAAGCAATCACTGCAAAAGGTTCCTGTTTATATTAAAATTGTCAGAATATTTTATAATGTTAAGTTTAGAAATGCACATGCTTTGTGTCAGCAAAATCAAATTGTTAAATGGGGGGAAAGGTGCAAGCCCCCTTCTCTGCTCAAAAGAAATATTTATGGATTCAATTTATCCAGTTTAACAATGAAATACCCTCTTCAAAATCAGGTAACATGCAAGGAATTTAAAACTCAGTTGCACTGCTTTGCTCTTAAGATTTTGTTGGCAACTTGCCTGCCTAAAACTTCCGCACTCCAATTCTGAATTTGGTTAACAGACCATTGCCATGAAGTAGGGACCGAATAATAATAAATAATCTGATTGTCCATACTGCCTTTATTAGAAATCACCTGAAAGATAGCTTAGTAGACAGGACTAAATTAGGTTTTGGGAGTGTTAAAAAAGATAAAGTTATAGAGTTATAGACCTAATTCAAGGATATCCACAAGCAGTTACAAAAATATGATTGAAGGCCCACCTGTTTTTTTTTTAAATGTGCAATGGAGATTTGACTGCTGTCTTGATTTTTTGGGGGCTATAACATGTCTTCCACACACCAATGCCTTGGAAAAGTAATGATCTAAACATTATTTTTTTAAAAATCAATTGTCATCAGGATTGGAAGATTTCTAAACCTACACTGATTTCCAAAATACAAAATTTCCAAAATTTCAAAATACAAAATTTCCAAAATTTTCAACAAAATTGCATGTATATACATGCACACACATTCATTTCATTTTTGACGGTTTAAGATATTTTCATCAGTGAAATTAGTTGAAGGTGAAAAATGCACTAGTAGGTTAAATGTTAGTTTGGGAGATCCAGTATTTGTGTGTGCATGCTTATATGTACACATATGTACACATTCAATATTAGCAGAAGAAAAACATATAATTGTACTGACTAATCTCTTGTGGATATTTTCAGCTAAAGTGTGATTCATGTCATTCACATGGGCCTCTGCTGATATGGGAAATTACTACTAATATAAGAATAAGAATAAGAATAAGAATAATTTTATTTCTATACCGCCCTTCTCCCGAAGGACTCAGGGCGGTGTACAGCCTATTAAAAACACAAGACAACATCAGTTAAAATAGTTTAAAATTATTAAATGAATTATTAATGAAAATTATTAAATGAATTATTAAATGAATATAAAAAAGGCATCAATATTTTAAGTCCTTAGAGCTTGCCAAAAATTCTTTGAGTTGGTACAATAAGAAAGGAAAAGAAATTTATTTTAAAAATGTAACATAGTATGTCAATTTTTTATTGCACATGAGGAGCTAATGAGGTATAGCCTCTTTCAGTTTACAGCGATACTGAGAAAGTCACAGAAGAAAAATAATAATAGGAGATTTGGTTGGGCAGAAGGGCATATATATCCATGAATGCGTGCTGGATAACTAACAAATTCAAAAAAGCTTATAATACTATTATCACATACTAACAACTCAGTTAATAAAACTAACAACATAGTCCAAATTTACCTTATCTGATTTACTTTACCAGAAAATAAAATTATAATATCAAAATCTCTGTAACAAGGCTGTTAGCCTTTTGGCATTTGTTTGTGGGGGGTTACGCACATAATGTACCCCGACTTAGCACATTTGTTTTAGAAAATCATATTTATTTTATATTTTATTGAGAACCAGCTTGGATTCTGCCAATTTTGACACCTGGAATATCCATTCAAGTTCTAATTGAGGGTCATTTGGATATATTCTTAAACTTAATTTCTTAACTGCCAATTTCAACAAGCGCTCAAGAAAGTAACCATATTATAGGATAAACTGCATCTGTGTAGGGAAGCTTCATTTATCTTCCTTGGATGCTGACAAACTATGAATCAGAATAGAGCTGGAAGTGACCTTGGAGATCTTGTAGTCCAACCCCCTGCTCAAGCAGGAAACCCTTTACCATTTCAGACAGTCTCTTCTTAAAAATCTCCAGTGATGAAGCACCCACAACTTCTGGAGGCAAGCTGTTCCACTGCTTAATTATTCTGCCTGTTAGGAACTTTCTGCTTAATTTCAGGTTGCTTCTCTCCTTGATTAGTTTCCATCCATTGTTTCTTGTCCTGCCCTCTGGTGCTTTGGAAAATAAGTTAACCTCCTCCTAATTTTGGCAGCCTCTCAAATATGGAATATTGCTGTCATGTCCCCACTAGTCCTTCTTTTCTCTAGACTAGCCAAACCCAAATCCTGCAATCGTTCTTCATATGTTTTAGCCTCCAGGCCTTTAATCATTTTAGCTGCTCTTTGCACTTTTTCCAAAGTCTCAACATCTTTTTTGTAATGTGATGACCAAAACTGGATATAGTATTCCAGGTGCGGCCTTACTATGACTTTATAAAGCAGTACTAATACTTCACGTGATTTTGATTCTATACCTCTCTTTATACAATCAAAGACTGTACTAACTTTTTTTGGCTGCTGCTGCACAATGCTGGCTCATATTTAAACGATTGTATGCTAGGACTCCAAGGTCCCTCTCACAGTTACTTTTTGAGCCAGGTTTCACTAATCTATACTTACACTTTTGGTTTTTCCTGCATAAGTGTAATGTGGTTTCCTCCACATTAAATTTCATGTTGCTGAATAGAGCTCAAGTTTGTCAATATTTTTTTTGGATCCTGAGTTTGTCCTCTGGAGTGTTGCCAGTTTAATATCATCTGCAAAATTGACAAGTTTCCCTTCTATTCCCTCATCTAAGTCATTGATGAAGATATTTATATAGAAATTTAATAAATAAATAAATAAATAAATAAATAAATAAATAAATAAATAAATAAATAAATAAATAAATATTGAAGCGTATCGGGCCTGAGATGGAACCTTGTGGTACTCCACTGTTTACTTCCCTTCCTGTAGAAGTAGTACCATTAAGGACTACTCATTGAGTAGAGTTTGTTATCCAGTTACAAATCCATCTGGTAGTGATGCTGTCTATCCCACATTTTTCTAGCTTACCAAGAAGTACGTTGTGGTCTACTTTGTTGAATGCCTTGCTGAATAGAACCCACTACACAAGAGTTAAAAGAATTGCAGCAGAAATTACATACAATAGTTTTTAAAATTACATCATCCTATTTTTCTCACAAATTTGCCTAATTCTGAAACATTCAGAGGGAAGTTCCTCTTTTGAGTATGTTTAAAAGATGATGGATGCAGTTTTCTGTCCAACACAAAGCTCTAATAAACCCTATATGATCTCATTTGTAAAATGAACCACTACCATTAATTCTGATGTGCAGGACATTCTAGGACTATGGCTGCTATTTATGTAAACTTCTTTTTATTTAAATTCATAGTAGTGACATTTTCTACTTTTTCTTTTAACTACATTAACCTCATCTCTCTTATCTGGTTTTTTTGTCTTGATAATTTCAATTAAAACTCTGTTTCACACGGATTCAGATAGAACTCTATTTTAACAAGTCAAACCTTAGACCCCTGATCTTAACATTTCCCCTGAAATCTGATCCACTCAGCATGTCAGGATGAATCACAGAGAAATAACTGTTTACATGATAATATCATTTTAAAAAAAGAAGAGGGGAAAAAAACAAGGGAAGGAGAACTTTAAGCATGATGCTTGGCCATGACTGTTTTCTCATTCTTCTTTTGGTGGTAAATGAGTCAGAAATTACTTGGCCAGGGAAATAACTGTGTTATTCAAATTCTGAGCTGGAAATGACTCATCTTACTCTGAGCAAGTATGTAATCCCCAACATAACTGACAAGTACATACAAAAACCCTCTCTTCCTCCTCCTTTCTTATACACACACTGACACTCAAACATTCTCTCTCGGTCTCTCTCTCTCTCTCTCTCTCTCTGTCTCTCATACACACACACTATACACACACTAATATCTGATTTTATATAACATAAATCAATGCAACAGTTAGAAACCTGGCACAACTTTCAGGTATGACTGTTTGTATTTGCTACGCTGGTGAATAACACTAAAAAATACTGGATTGTTCCAAGTTAGACACATCCAACTAGCATGTAGAAGTCGACTTCCTGACTTGCCCAGAGTAGTTAATCTGATTAAAAGATTTACAATATTTTTACACTAGAAGTAGTAATTGGGTTTTTAATGACACATCTAAAGTTATAAATTTTAAGGAAGTATATGGGGGAAAGGGGAATGGGATCCAGATTAAATTTAGGTTTAATGTAATTACTGTAATTAAAATGTAATTAATATCCATCTATCAGTTGCTTTTTCCCTTAAGTCACTTTTGAACATTTCCACTTGGTCAAAAAATGGGAAAGTCCTGAGGAATTATAGATAGCCCTAGCATAAAAAATTGAATTCATCATATTCCCAAAAGTCTCAATGGGGGGTGGATTAAAAATGGATGGGGAAGTCCCTATTTTATAAATAAAGCCATATTTTCTTATTTTCCTATTTTATAAATAAAGCCCTATTTGCCAAAGGACCAGAAGGCAAGACAAGAAACAATCGATGGAAACTAAACAAGAAGAGAAGCAACCTGAAAGTAAGGAGAAATTTCCTAACAGTGAGAACAATTAAGCAGTGGAACAGCTTGCCTTCAGAAGTTGTGGGTGCTCCATCACAGGAGGCTTTAAGAAGAGACTGTATAGCCACTTGTCTGGAATGGTATAGGATCTCTTGCTTGAGCAGGGAGTTGGATTAGAAGACCTCAAAGACTCTGTTATTCTGTTATTAGAAATCCGTGTAGAGAATTAAACAAGCACTTATGAGAAGCTTTTGATTTATATTATATGCCTCT